AGTATTTTGTGGTCTATAAGTTGCACCTTTGTCGAAGTCGCACCTACATATTTGTAGGGCCGACCTAGCAAAACTGCACTAAAAGCTCGCACATGTGTTTTATGATTGCAATATGCGTGCAAGCGAGAGCAAGTTTCAATATTCTTGTCACCAAATCGAACGAGAAATGTAACCCCCACGGTAAATTTCTGCAGCTAATGTATACACTTATAGACAAAAAATGCATTTAGATCGAACTGTTCTAAAAAATGCACCAACAAAAATTAAAAAAAAAGTGCAATTTGCTATTTGGAAAATATGGTACTCCAATCTTTAAATGGTAATGCATGGTGCTGCTACCAGCAAATCCATTATGCATGAAAGCTTGCACCGTCCTGTTGTCTTACAGAAGGTCTGGAATGCGATTCGTCGTAGCTCAAAACTTCCCCTCAAGGTCCCCTCCAAAAATTGGAACCAGCTTTTACGTCGCTCGTGGCACAGTGTGTCAACGTGCGTTGCCACGACCCAAAACCGATCCAACTTTTACTCACCGTGGGAAGGACGATTGCAGAGAGGAAGGAATCCGCAAGAGCAGCGTGCGAAAGGGAAAGCGGGAAAGAGGGAAGAAGGACACAGCCGAGAAAGGGTCACGCATTGCATGGCATCGATGAGGCACCATCCCAACAAACGATAACCAAACACCGCGTACGCAAGAGGAGCACAAAGTTAACCAACTTCACCTACACCTTGTTCCTCCTAAAACCCAGCCACGGCAAACACCACTAGCCAATCCGAGCCAATTCAAAAGTCCCCAATCAGGTACTGTCCCGACGAATCATAGTCAATCACTGCATGTGTGACAGAAGCACAAAGTTAACTCACTGCACTAGCACTTCATACACTACTAGCCAATCCAAGTCAATCCAAAAGAGCAAGCTTGCCTACCTGACCTTGTCATTGTCAAGAGCAATATGCAAAGCACTGGGACACCCGGCTTAGCTGAGATGGCTGCTTAGCGTGGCATTTAACACGATCCTCAACTTATGTCGTGCCATCGTTGTCACAGCCGCTAACACACTCTGCCAACTTCGTTACTATCGAGGCTGTTCAAAAGAGTAAAATGGCTGCCGTGCCTTAGGTTGTCGGAGTCTTTTTTCACATGTAAGCACTTGAGCACTTTCTAAGGATTCTTTCTGCCACCTATGTATCCCAGTTCTCTTTTTCGAGCATGTACCGCATCCCAACACAAGAGGGTCAGCATTCACGTCCTGCCGTCTACGTCTATACTGGAAGTGCCTACTGACCAACCAAAATACTCAAGGCGCTCGCACGCACAGATGCTTTTAAAACGACACCGACAATGTCTCGACCCTTGCCGAGATTTTTACGTAAACGTGACCGTGAGGGACCAACTAGCGGAAAGAAATATTTGTGGCGTGAAATCTCGTTTTCTCTGAAAGAAATATGCCAGTTGATGATCACGTCTGCATCGACCCTCCTTTCTGTGGTCACAAGGAGTGATGATGATAGTGCATAATATTTTTAACAAGGTTGTAGGCCCTTTAATAGAAGTACAGTGTAACCCACTAACGACAATAACAAAAATCCCAAATTTCAGTCGTTTAACCGATTATAGTTGTATCTGGGGTAGAAACTGATTGTTTCTAGCCTAGAAACTGATCATTATAAGCAATACATCGTTATATGTGGTATCATTATAAGTGTCTTGCACTGTAATAGACTTCATGAAACTTAATTTTTAGGACAACTTGAACACCAAAAGCGCGTTAACTTTAATCAACTTTGAGTGCACAGTCACATCGACACTACCATATCCTGTAACATCATAGCAAATGTTTTGGTACCCAGCAAAGCTTCCATGGGCCAGCACATTTCTACATGTATTTTTTTTGTTCAATCAAATTAATATTATTGTAACATCAAATAAGCTATGCTAAGGACTGGTTCACAAGAACACTGCACATGACGGTGCCCAGGGTGTGTTTCAGACTGGCGTGTTCAGCACGTCCTCGAAAGTGGTGCCTTAAAGGAACACTAAAAGAAAAAAGTACTTATTTTTGTTAAAGGGCTCATATGACACATATCTTTTTTTTTTCTCATTGTTTCACAAAGAAAGAAAAACTTTAGTGTATGATCTATATTGTTAGACGCAATTTAGGTGGAAGTAACCCACTCTAGGCCCCACCCAGAAATCTATACCAGCTACGCTACTTTTCTCTGCTCTCCTTGGTTGGATAGGTGATCGATGTCTGGAGTGTTCTTAGTAAAAATGTTTCCCCTTGCTGCAAAACTCTTTTATTCAACTTTTCTTTTTATGCTTGAGAAACAATTTATATAGATGGAGTCATCACTGCTTTCAAAAGTATCATGAGACTCTCTTTTCCGCTTTGGTTTCAAACAATAGCAAGCATGGCTGCCGGCGTTTGCAGCCACCGGTTTCACACCACTATGCTTATTGAGCTCGCCTGTTTTTATGAGTGCACGGGTCGTTTCACGTTTACCAAGCTGTTTAGCAGACGATCTCTTCAACTGACGTACTTTGCGACAAACAACTAACGCAAACATGCGCCTTTGGAAGCGTTGTGCGGGTGCTTGTTTTGGTAGCGGGAAAGACGGAAGCTTAGCGTCCCACGGCAACTATTTTGCTTGACCTCACTTGATTTATTTGTTTGTGCGTGTGGTGCTGAATAAATGTGTCGGTTCCCTTAAGAGTGGCCCCGCTACTCTGAGAATGGTGCAACCGTCGTGATTGCAACCGTGGTTTCAGGGTATGAAATTGCGAGCCATTTCGGTGTAAGCAATTTGACGTTTGCCTCGCATCAGGTTTGTCCAGGTATGTTTCCGTCACTTCGCTTCTGAGGGCCTTTAGCTAGCAAGTTTCGAGCAGTGCACCTGGCTCGCTAAAGCCAATAATTTTAGGTCGCGTTTGAATTGTGTGTCATGGACGCTAACCCACCTTGCTTGCGGACGCTATGCAAGAAGACAACAGAAAAACTGAAAGGACCGCATATTTATTTTGTTGAGTCTTTTAGTCCTTTCGGCTGCATTTTGCGGCACATCGACAGATGCTCATATCGGGAGTAGATCTTGCATGATGGAACGCTAGAACGTCACTTTCGTGGTTGCGTCTTGCGAGCTTTACAGGCGGTTTTAGACGAGGGCAGGATAGCAGACGGACACAACTGCAATGGCGGAAGAGGACGCGCTGCTTTCGTGGTCGCGTTTTACAAACATTGCAGATGATGCTGAGCGGGGGTAGACTATCAGACGATGCCGGAAGCTACCACGCGTCTGCTCGCACGACTAGCAGGCGGTGTCAGATGCCGTACTGGATGACGCGACAGGGAGACACTAGGCGAGCACGTTCGGACGATCGGCCAAGCCAATCCAGTAGTAATGGGCGGGGCCGCTGACCTGTGGGCGGGGCCTAGAGTGAGCATCGACGTCCATCAAAATTGCATCTAACAGCGTAAATATTGCCCAAACATATTTTTTTTCTCATTGAGAAATTACTTTTAAAAAATATGTGTCATATTTAAACCAATGGTGTCAAAGAATAGACCCTCTTTAAAAGTCCATGCCACTGCCTGTCTGCCATGGCTCGATCCCATACTCTGAGCATGTATTGAATATGAGGGTTGCGTCAGCGTTCGGTGTGAACTTGGCACGAGTCATACCGAAACCGAGTTCTGCGTCCGCGTTTGGCGAAAGCTCGGATCCAATCACGCGCTTCTGTCCTTGGAATGGCAATCGCGAAGGACGCACGACGGACTTTCGAAAAGGACATATTATTACCCCATCGTCCACTGCGATCCCGGTGGCGGCGCAGCAACAGAGACGGAAGTGGCAGATGCCCGTTCTGTCGCTCTCGGCCCGACGGTCTGCCGAAGCGTCGGTGGCCGGACGTAGGGACACCGCGACGACGGTGGCGCTCGCGTCAGTTCCTGCCTTTTGCCGGAACTCGCACGACCGACCGGCGGGATCGCGAAGTCAAACGGTTCGACGCACTCATGTGACGTCGTCCGTCGCCGCTTTGGGACCATTCTCGATGCACGGGCTAGACGGGACGCCATAGGAAGCGGTCGGAGACTCGTCCCGTGTGCCGCAAAAGCCGCAACATCCCTGCTCCTACAATGCGTAATAGACGCTGCACTCACTGCAGACGCGGCAACAGAAATATCTGCAGACACCATGGAGGCAGGAAGCTCCTGGAGGCGACGTGAGGCCGCCAGAGTTGAAGCCCCCCAAGAGTGACCAAAACAGCTGTTCAGTCAGCTCTCCTTTTCGTCCAATAGCGTCTCTTGGTTTTGGTCATCGCTGGGGGCGTGTCCCTCCACACCTCCGGTGGCCTCGTGTCGCCTCCAGAAGCTTCCTAGCTCCGTGACACAAACAAATCGAGCACTTTCGAACCATGTCTGCTTCCGACGTTTCTCCAGACAGTTTTCGGATGACCATTGTGAGAGGGCCGTCGTACAGGAAAGAAGCACACTTCAAATAGTGCCCGCACACTGTCTTTTGTACGACGTATTAGCGCGTGACTATGATGGCGACGTGCGTCGCCGTCGTCACCCCTGCTGGTTTCCAGGACCTACCGAGGTCCTCGTCGAGGACACCCACGAAACTCTCGGGTGTATTGGAGGCTGGCCGAGCACGATGTAAACTGTCGTGCCGTGGTGCCTGCAACGCGTCTCCGATTGATGCGTTTGGCGTCCTACTCCGCATGTGCATCAAAAGTGGTCTCAAAGTGGCAAGAAACAACATCGCGGAGGCTGGAGGGTCGCGACATCGGACATCTTTCTTCCACCAGTTCGGCACGGAAGTTCCGACAAAAGTATGAAGGAATGTGCCTGCCGTGTTTCCCGCCGCTGCTGCAACGCGGCTTGATCGCGGCCGGCTACGGCAACACGCTCGTGTAACGTCGCTGGGCAGAAATCGGGGGACAACTTTTCGGAGACGCGTTTCCGGGCACCGGGCTTCCGACCCGCAACGTGGCGCCTTACCGTCTAGGAGGTCCTCCATGGCGACCCGGACGGCCTTGTCGAAGGCCCTGGCGTCGGCCGACGTCTGGAAGGTGAGGCCGAACTTGTGGTCGCCGGCCCGCCAGTGGTGGAAGGTGGGCATGACCTTGGCGGTGAACAGAGAGGAACGAGAGGTCAGGCCCAATCGGACACGTCGGCGCATAAGAAAGGAAGTGGAGGAAGAGGTACGGAGGCCTCGTGGGAACACCACTCACAACATGACACCTGCACCATTCCCCTTCAAAACGCCGTCACTAGCAGATCAACACGACGCTGCCCGGCTTGCGTTAGCATCGCCACCGGCGAGTCTCGCACCGTCTCACGACAAGAATGACTCAGACTTGAAATCGCGTTATAAAGTTCATTCTCCCTCAGAATGAGCGCGTGCCTTTAGCAAGCGGCGATGCTGACGAGTGTGCCATTTTGCGGCGACTCTCGTGGAGCTTCGACGTGTTTGCCAGACGGGCGTGTCGGGGATCCACTAGCTTCGTTCTATTTCCCTGCACCTCCTGCACCGGTGCAGAAAAGTGCAGGGTGGTGTACCTCTGGTCGTATCTCAATACGGATACCGGAAGCACACTGCCCTACACTTTTCTGCACTGGTGCAGGAGGTGCAGGGAAATCGAACGAAGCTACTGACGACGATGTCGGGTGCACACCTTGTCTTCTACGTGGCATTCGCTAGAGGGGACGTGCAACGATCGCTCACTCTTCCCAGTGGCCGAGCGCGGTCTCAGAATCCACATCTCTTTACTCACGATCCCCGCGGTACCCTTCGTAAGTTGGTAATGGTGGCACCACGACAGTAAAGACCAGTTAATTCTTTGGACACTGGGTTCCACTTGAAACGGATTAGACAGGAAACAGGAAATATGTAAGCAGTTGCATTCCCATTTACGGCCAAAGAATACCTCTGCAGAGTGAGATGAAATGCTTGGTCTGCCCGAATTTCTAAGCATTTCCTTCTACTTTAGCCCCAGAGCGTCAGGTGTTGCTGCTTCCAGCATACCGATTGTGCCGTGCTTCGCAGGCACAAATCGCGGGAACGCTGTGCCTTGCACGGTCTCCCCACCTAGCATGCCATAACATGACGTGTGGAAGTCGACAGACGGCGTAAAGTGGCGCGTGCCCCGGCCTCTCGGAGCCGGAAGCCTGAGAGTCCTCCCGCCGATCTACCGTATTCGCACAAATATAACGGAAGTTTTTTTTTTCTTCAAAATTACGCACTCCAAAACGCACATCGCGTTATATCGGAATCGAGCTCGGCCACATGGCACGCGAGAAAGCCATTCCTTCGATTGAACACAGGGGTGCGAAAGGAAATGAGGGAGAGGAGTGTTATTAGTTCTTGCGCCACGTAAAGGGAGGAACAGAGAACATTGAAAGCATTCTCTGTCGTTTTTACTCAGCCGCAAAAACGGCAAAGACAAGAGGCGCCACGCGGGAGTCGAGTCAAACCAAGCCAAGGCCGCTGGCAGTGTTTATGAAATCATTAAATACGAGGTGTGTTTATGGAAAGGCATGAGTAGCAAGGGTGAGAATGATCCTGTATCACTTCCAGCAGTTTTTGTTCTGCCTGTGCAGTTCTTAGTTTGTGCTCGAGTGTTCTGCCATTTGTGCTTCTGCTTCGTGCACATGGTAAATCAACCAAGCTGACAAGGGGCACCATGGTTCGAGAAGAACAGCTTGCCGAAAAAGAGCTCACCCCTAGGAAAAAGAATCTGAGAAATCCCCGCAGTCGCGACAGTGACTTCAGGGATGTGACGATGACAGTGACGATGAGGGCAGTCAATTGTGCATGACCCCGGTTCTCATTGCCTTTTCTCTTCTGCTATGCACTCGAGTGCAGTAACTTTACGTTTGCGCTATAATAATTTTCTCACTTCATTCTAGGGACTTCAAAACCTGCCCTCGCATTATATTCGCGGTCGCGTTACATTCGTGCAAATACGGTGCTTTCGTCGTCCAACCATCGAACCCTCAAGATTGAGAAGCGACAAAGATCAAGCAGTTCACCTTGCAACAGCGCTGAGGACAACAATGTGTGTAAGCTCTCCGACAAGTACCTCCGACTCTGAATGTAGCGTGTCTCACAAAGTAGTCGCACATAGAACTTCCCCGTCTGAACTGAAGTTACGCCACGTTCCTACCACAAGGGTAAATTTCAATATTATGCCTATGAAAAAGCTTTTTTTGTTTGTTTGTTTGTTTTTCTTGTGACGCCAGAATTATTTAAACCAGGGGTTCCGAAAGTCTTCAATCTTGAAGAAGCACTCCTGGGCTCGACATTGGTGCAATAGAAGAGGACAGGAGCCTGCAGGCCTTGTAAACAGTAGTGCACACACAAGCGTGTGTTTGGTGCACACTTATGCACAAATGAGTGCACCAGATCTTTGAAGACGGTGCTTAAACTAGAAAACCCCTCTACTTGTCACCAGGGACAGTTCAGGAAGTTTGCGAGCTCCGGAAACCCACAAGGGTACTGTGGGGAACCCCCGTGATCGTAGGAACCCAGCGTCAGAACCCATATAATCTAAATTAACCCACGGTCTCGTAGTAATTAATTAAAATGTGAGGTGCCCTCCAAAAACATATATGGTATATCCTGGCAGCTTGCCCAACTAAAATATAGAGCAAAGCAGGCAAAAATAAGGAGTGGACTAACATTCCGTGTACAATTAAGAAAAGCAGAGAGAACACTATTTTTAGATCATGTTTTTCTGTCAAACTTCTTACGTGGTGAGGCACAATGAAGCAAAGATGACTGTACTGTACTTCCCAGTCAGCAATGTTCGCTTATATCCCACCATAGCTGTCTTATTACGCATCACCGAACGCTTGGTCTTCGTCTGACTATCGCACCGGTGGTCCGGACCAGATGGCAAAGTTTTAGAGCTTGCCGTTATCTGGTTCAAAAGTTGTTACGCAATTTTCTACAATTTTCAATGGGAAAATGTTGGCCTACAATCCCAGGAATACCTGTAACCGAATGGCATCGACTGTCAGGAACAGGGCCCATTTTCCTGTCGAAGTTTACAGGAAATCGCTTACAACTTTCGAACGAGACAATGGTTAGTCCAGAGACTTTGGCGTCCGGTCTGAACCACTAGCACCACAGCATTTGTTTTTGGAGCGAAACCAATGTTGCAAAGTTTCTTTTGGGGCAGAGATGGAGAAGCGGGGGCCACCTTGTTGTAGGTGAAGTCCCGGCCGATGCCGCACGAGAGCAGCACCCCGGCCTCCCGTTCGCCCGTGATCTGGTAGCAGCAGCCGCCGCCCCCCGTGGAGGGCGTGGGGCCCCCCCCTCCGACGGCTGGCGGGGGGGGCGGAGCCACGTCGCAGCGCTTCCGCACGGAGACGCTGCTCAGGCCTCCGCCCCCGAGGGGCACCCAGCCGCCCGTCGAATCGTCCCGAGTCATTACCTGGGCCCGAACACGAACCAGGCAGCCACCACTGCAAGGGGAGAAGGGTGGCACATCAGTGTTGCTCTTTGCGTCCTACAAACACCAACTCTTTCAAGGGTTTCGCATCAGTATCGCTCTTTGCGTCCTACATATGCACCGACTCTTTGATGCCACTGCAAATGTGCGCTCTAAAAAAAAGGGCTGTAGCCCTTACACCCCTTGTCACAAGTATGACACCCCAAAACTTCAGTTCGTCGTACAGCGCACTGATCTAATATCTTATACCGCACCGATGACGGTGCGGTATAAGATATTAAACAGCTAAAGTATGCATAAGAGTACAGAAAAAAAAACTGAGGTTTTGCAGTAGGGTCAAGAAAACACCTATTACTCTTTTTAAAGTCAGTTACACTTAATCTATTTTAATAAGTTGTACAACTAAGCTATCAAGCCACTCGTGAAAGTTGGTAGCGTCGGTTGAACGTCAGTGTGCTATACGTCCAACTGACGTTTAAGGGTGTCGTATATATGACAAGGGGTGTAAGGGCTACGCTTTTTTTTTTAGTGTGCACTGCTGTTGGCACTGTCAGGGGTGGGACAGATCAAACTGGTTTTGGGGCAAGGACAAAGGACACTAAAGACAAAAAGTCTGGATTTTTGGGTCACCTTAGCAGTAACTGTGACATCATTTAAAAAAAAGCATCTTAGCCAGCTGTACCATGAGTTACAATTCAAGCATGCTAGGCTTGTACTACAAGTGTTGGAAAGTATTGAATAGAACTTTACTCTTAAATACTTGACCTCACATGCAGAAATATATTTTATTTTAGAAACAAATTTCGAGGGGCACGATTCGGGAACATCAATATTACATGCTATGTTGCATCATACATACATTGGCCATGTTGCAAAATTTACCTTACTGCAGGGTAAGGGTTTTGTACCTCAGCATTTGTACCCCATCCGGCGTTTTTCAATCTGTGTTGTCACGTGACAGAAACCGCCGGGGTAACTCGGATCCATTTGAGTAAGATTTGGAATACAGCCTATGTGGCACGTACGATCCATTGGATAAACAGATACAATGAAACCAAGAAGTCACATAGCGGCTTGCGCCAACTAGTAATGGAATGGCCATGGTTGCCTAACCGAGCATTCACTTTCCTCTAAACCTAGCACCACCGTGATCTACGGCATAGCGTGGCGCAATTTTGGTCGATATAACGCTTTTGGCGCTGCCAGGCGCAAAAAACGGTGAACGTATCAACGGGGTGCAATTTGTGCAGCTGTCCCACCCCTGCACTGTGCACACGCTTCGTCTCACGCGGATCTAGTTTCTGGATGTGCAGGTTGGTTGGTGCGTGATGGTTTATACAGACAGGGGAGAGCGTGTTAGTGCACCGCAGCTCCGAGCACGAACGGGAGACCATGCAAATCGGATTCTAAAAGTGGTACTCTGGCAATTTCTTGAGGTTCTCAAGCTGTTTCTTGAATCCCCACTTTTTACCCTTTCCAGTATACTATTCAGCATCGCAAAATTCATAACAGTTCTTGCGAAATCGGCAAATGAAAATGTTGCAAAAGCCAACATTTTAACATATTTGCACTTTTCGGTGCCATGACGTCGGTGGAAGCCAGGCTTGCCAGTCAGGCAAGCAGTCTAAAAAATGGACTATGCCAAGCATCTGTTCCATGCTGGAGCGCCGGTACTGGAGCGAGCTTCCAAAGCATTCATTTGACGCCATGAAACTGCTTGGAATCAGTTGGGAACAGAATCTACAGTACCAAGAGCGAACCCATGCCTTCCACTGGTGTCACTTTTTCGTTGTTGCCAGTAGAGATTTTCAGTTTGAAAAACACGGCGAGGACCAAAATTGTAAATTCAATAACTTCGCTAAAAACATATTTCGACCTAATATTTAGGATACTATTTCAGCTATGTTCGTTGGTGTGTTTAGCCAATTTTAAGGAAAATCGGGGACTATGAAGAAATTGCCAGAGTACCCCTTTAACGGTCTGCAGTGTCCTTTAAAGCAGAGACGTAATAAGTGGTACATTTTTGTTTTGTAGAATATGAATGGATGAGTTCACCTGAGCAAAATATGACAAAAGAACAAACTTCCCCTTTCCTAGAAGAGAAATATACAGGCTAGCTGGTTAGGAAAGGGAAAATTGGTGGCCATCTGGTCTACTGCACACTAGCTCGGAGCACGTGGAGCAAATGCTTGCGCTGCAGAAAACAGGATCCTGGGTTCAGTCCTCACCCCTCCCATTTTGATCTGGATGAGCATCATACCGGAGTGGGGTTGCGTATCACTGCTGCGTGGTGCATGTTAAAGACCCTAGGCTTAGTGGTTGTACTGCACTGGCTAAATTGCTCATCTACAGCTGAGAGACAAGTTGCTCGTTGAAGGCAGACTAACTTCAAGGCTGTATAAACATACCCACAACTGTTTTTTTAACGAAAAGGTCTTTTTGTTGATTTATTGGCCCTTAAAGGAGTACTCCGCCGTTTTTTGAGCTACCTCAACTAACTATATTTTCTGACTCCCCGGCCTTTACCCTTTCTGGTATGCTAATTAGTATCGTGAAATTCATAATAGTTATTGCGCAATCGGCAAATGAAAATGATGCAAAAACAAACATTCAAATATACCTGCCCTTTTCAGGGCCGTGACGTCAGAGGAAGGTAAGCTTGCCAGTCGGGCGAGCAGTCTAAAAAATAGAATATGCCAATCATTTGTTCCGTGCTGGAGCGCGGGGACTGGAGCGAGCTTCCAAAGCATTCATTTGACACCATGAAACTGCTTCGAATCAGTTGGGAACAAATTCTACAGTCCAAAGAGTGAACCCCTGCACTTCCACTGACGTCACTTTTTCATTGTTGCCAGTAGAGACTTTCAGTTTGAAATACACGGTGAGGACCAAAATTGTAAATTCAATAACTTTGTGAAAAAAATTTATTTTGACCTAATATTTGGGATACTATTTTGGCGATGTTGTTTCGCGAGTTTAGCGAAATTTCAAGCAAAGTCAGGGACCATGAAGAAATCGGCGGAGTACCCCTTTAAGGGAGAGGAAAGGGCATTACAAGCCCCTAAGGGTGTAATCTGAACACTTGTCAATGATCTTATTCCTCTTTGTCTCTTATACATCATTTTATGTCTCTTTGTCTCAGGGTTTAGGTAATAATCTTTTTCCTATGGATGAAGCCTAGTTTGCAAGAAACCATCAAATAAAATGACGGGCCACGCAACGCATCCGTATCACTCTCATACCTAGGCAGCTATGGGCTGTACAGATTTATATGTGACACCTTTGAGGGGACTGCATAAATCAATTTCTGAATGTACTGCAATACAACTAGGGTTCGGAGTTTTCGGTTTAAACCGATAAAAACCGATAAAAGTACGCCGAATTCATTTTTGGAAATTCGGTTTTAACCGGAAAAGGTCAGTTTGTAGGTTCGGCGTTTTAGGTTTAAACCGATAAAAGTATGTCTAATTCGTTTTATAAAATTCGGTTGTAACCGAAAAAGGTTAGTTTCTTAGGGCCGTGTCGAGATAGGTGGGGGAGGGGAGAAGGGAGAGAGGGCTTTGCAAGGTTCTTCATTGTGTGACACCTTCGAGATTGCCCTCTCCCAAGGTTCGGCATGCAACAAAAAGAGGTCTTGGATTGGCCTTTGCGGGACATCTGTGTCCCTTCTGTGATCGGGCCTAGTTTGTCAAGTTCCTGTTCTTAAAAAAAAGTTTGGGTGTCATGCACTTCAGAAGACATCGAGGAAGCCCGCTGATACCTTCTTATCACCCTCTCTCAAACTTCCCTGTGACTAAAAACATAAATACAATAGATTTTGTTTTGCCATTTCACTGGTTTCTGTACGGCCATCACTTCAGACGGTCACGCCGTCAGAATGGAAAGGAAAAAGAAGCGTGCTGAAGATTATGCCCGCGAATTCCGCGATTTTGAAGTGTGTCCTGACGGAAGTTCTAGCGAAGACCACGTATATATATATATGTGCCGTTATTCTTTGAGTGATCATCAGATCCAGTGTCCGATGGTGTTTCTTTCATTTTCACCGAAAAAAAAACGGTAACATTTTTTGAGAATAAATATACACCGAAAAAAAAAAAAAACGAAAATTGAATTTTAAAATAAACACCGAAAAAAGTACGCTGAATTTTGAAAAAATAAAAACCGAAAACGCGGAACCCTAAATATAACTTAGAGCAGAGGCAGAATAAGTGGTGTGGTTTTGTGCGAAAAAAAAAAAAATGGAAAGATGAGTTCCTTTGAGTAAAAAGTGACATAGAAAAACATCTTTTTCATATGGGCTCCGCCTAGTTTGCATGAAATCATCAAATGACATGACGGGGCCAAAAATCCATGTTTCAATCTTTTGGCAAACATGGGGTGTACCCCGCAACGCATCAGCATCACTCTGCAGCAGGTCGCAGATACAGGGTTACCAATTTATGCGTGGCCTTTTGATGGGACTGCATAAATCGTCGTCTTAACAAACTGCAATGTAATTTAGTGCAAAGGACTAGTAAGTGGAGCTGTTTTTTGCAGAAAAATATGAAACGAGCAGTTGACCCGAGTACAAAATGACAAAAAAAGGTGAAAGACGTTTACACCTCTCTGTAATGCCGCATTAGAGCGCAGCTTTTGAGGAGGAGGAGGGGAGGGTATGCCCCTCCTCCCCTCCTCCTCTCCTGCTCCCCTCCCATTTAGCGGGAAATTTTCGCTGCATTTCCCACTAAATTTAACGGGGAAACTTTTCCGCTAAAAAACAATGACTAGGACTGAATAACGGCGGAGCGGTGAAGTGTCATCCAGATCAACCGAAAATTTCTTCAAACTTCGATTCGAGTAACATCTGGGGGTTCAACTTTCACATCCTGCCTTCAGAGCTAGGGCTACCTTCAGGTAGAGTTTCAGCAATCTGCTGTGTGCAGTTAACTTAAGTGCCACAAAAATAATTTAACAGTTTCTCAGACAAACACAGTATGCTAACCTACCCACAAACCTTCGGTACAACAAAAGGGC